CAGAAGCAAGTCACATCACAAGTCTGTCTCACATTCCTTTCAGAAATAGAAAAAACAAACTTCCCTTGTAAGCACAACAAAATAATCTGTTACTTCATGTAAGCCGTAAAAGAAGTTATCTTTTTTTTTTTTTTTTCTATCTTCTCTATGAAATTTTTTCCTGTAAGTGTTATGAGGAGAAAATGTGCTCTACGTGTAGTTCGCAAAGAAGAAAGCACTGAACTGACACCAGAATCCACAGCTGTAAAAAGTTAAAATTATCCTGTAGGTGCTTCTCTGCAGATTGCACTTAAAATAAAAATATACCTGACATCTCAGATCTGCGACTGTGCAGTAGGTTTACAGTCAGGATGCTAGAGGACTTTGCCAATACACTGAAAGTAATAGCTGTTCATTCTCCCATTTAGGACTTGAATTCAAGATTCTCTGTTACGCTTCTAACAATTTCAGTGAAGTTCGCATTGTAGTCTCTTGTGGGTTTTGTACAAGCCTGTTGGATTACAACAGCCTCTATAAAGAATGTAAAAATCGGAAATTGGTCATCAATACATCCGTTCTTTACCTTGGCTTGCTGCTCGGTATAACAAAGAAAACTAAGAAGAAATGAGTAACTACTTAGCTTGAATCTACTGCATTTACTTGTGACAATAAGCCCAACAGAGAGTTACTGAATTAGTTAGGGTAAGCAGGCTCATGGTTTAAGCCACTCTGTTTTCCTTCGTAAACATGTTTACCATAGTAGCATGCTTGGATTGCACAGGAGGCAAAGTCATAAATTACAGTTGTAAGTGCATCAGTGTGGTAGAAAGAGATGATGCAAAACCAAACAAGATACCTTGTGCAGTGTTCTGAGGCTTCAGGTTTGCTCCTTCTCCATACAGGCTGGCTAGGAAGTTAGCGGAAGGTGTTAATGTGAATCTCTGAAAAAAGAGATGTGTTAGAGACTTTGAAACAGAAATATCAAGCAAATAGGCTATTTCTTGATCCCCAAACCAGCCAAATTTAGAGAAGGATGGATAAAGTAGTGGAAATACGTTTGTTTTCCCAAGGAAGAAAAGAAACCCAACACAAACCAAACCTGTTCTAATGACAGACAATATAGGATTCTTTGCACTAAGGGACAGATTTGCCTTGCCTGATATGATCAAGAAGGAAAAGCTCAAGACTCTGACAGAAACTAAAGCCAGTTCCAGTTAAGTTGTGATTTGCATTTGCTGCAGTTCAGGGAGAATTTTCTAGAAGTCTGAATCAAAGTGCTTCTTTCTTCCTTCAAAAATCTTGCTTTTAACTCAGAAAATCAAAATAATTACTTCAATAATCCTTTTGGGAAACAGGAAAAACCTGACATAAAGTGCAAATAGTAAAACTGAGATTTTGTCAACCAGTGGGAATAGCATAACTGTATTGAGTCTTCTCACTCAGAGTAAATTCCAAATTAACTAAGATATTTTTAATCTCATTGGCATCCTGAAGATTCAGGAACTGTAACAGTCAGAGGACTGAAACATCAATACACGTTTCACCTGGTAAGGTTTCAAAGACACAAGTCTTGAAAAGTTGTTTCTAATATCAAAGCCTTAGCCTTTGTTCTGACCTGACAACAGCTACAAACAGATTCTCTCATTAGCTTGCTTTGACAGTCAAAGATGGCCACTTCCTATTGGAAAGGCAGTAATTTCACTGCAGTGATTAATCCTTGGGACTTGGTTTCAGGACTGTAAGTTTAGAAGACATCAATACTGGTTGGGGACTTACATGCCGGAACACTTTTCTCAGGTGTTTGAACTGCAAATAGAATTTGTAGAAATGGAGTTGGCTTGTTTCGTGTAGAACAATAACCACAACCCCAGCCAGGCGGCTTTGGTGATAAATATGGCACCAGCTGCAGTTAGAAAAAAAAGAAAAAAAAAGCAAAATAATTATCAAGAACTCTTAAATTTAAAACAAACTTGGAACCAGCACAGCTTTTAAGTCAGTGAATGGCAAAGTGCCAAATGATTTAAATGAGAAGAGGCTTTATAGCTTATCTCAAACAGCCACATATTCCTGGAAGCAACAGAATATGCGAGACTGAGAAGAGTAATAGCAAAATTCTGCTGCAGTACCATTTCAAGACATTTGTACCTCGTTTATCTGCATCTGAATGTGAATACACACGAGTAACTTCAGCTGTAGTGATGCAGTCCAGTGAATTAATGCATCAACAAAAGTTTCACAAAATAATTTTCTATTCACTACTAAAAATCTAAAGTGGCATCATTTTTGCCTTAAGTTTCATTATATTTCACCATATTTTTGCCACCTGAGGTTGTATACCTTCTTCAGCCTGTCTTCCATTGCTGAGAAGCTGCCCTGAAAAAGGGCAAAGTGATTAAAATATTTTTCCCAAAACACTCTAGAACAGTCTGTTTCAATTATGTCTGACATGATACGTGTTAATATTTTTTGTGTTGTGTCAATATTTTTAACATGGTATTTCATTTCTCCGTGCGTGAATCTTCTTCAGTTCCACAAAATTGTTTAGTTTTTGATAACTGCATGAAAGAAAACTGTGAAATGGTAGAAATTTTGTCAGAAGAAGAATTCTGGTCTCTGGCCAAGTATAACAATAACTGTATCTACATAATACAGGCTGTCATTATGGTAACTGCATTGCAAGGATTCCAAAACCAGCATGGCCAATATGCCTTTAGGTATGTCTTCACAACTCATGAGGACACAAGACAGGGTTGATTCCGGGCTACGAATGTGTTATACCTGGGTTGTGTAGCATTGTGGCATTTTCCCAAAGCTGCATACTTTAACAACTCATACAGCTGGTCATGGCTGATTTCGCAGTCCTCACCAAATAAGGCTGTTGACAAGTGAGATGACTTTTCCTGTAAAAAGGGAAATGCTAGTAAAGGAAGGTTTTGTGTAATCACACAAGTTCATGGAAAATTAAGTGAATTATATGGTAAAAAGAAACTATTTAGATACAATCAACTACATTTAAAAGAGTTCTTCCATTCATTGTGGGCAAAAGTTTCCTTTCAGATCACACTTAATATTAAATTTACTATCAATATTTCAGCAACTTAGGTACTCTAACTTCAAATACTTATTTAATAAAGATTAAATAGATGCATGTTAGTAGATGCATGTAGTAAGGAGACTTAAAGTTATTTGATTTGCTAACACTATGTTCTGTTCTCTCAACCCATTCACCCACTTGCTGCTGTAGAGCTTTGGGCATTTATACAAGTGTTATAAGTAGCCACTTCATGTAAAGTTTTGCTAAAACCTATTTACTTCATTTACATTATGTGATCTGTTTTGGCAAATGGGTTTGCTGACCCCTACAGGAAAAAAATTGTTTCAGTAAAATCCAAGGAAACTGCAGAAAGGAAGTGTCAAGTAGATGAGATGGAATGGAGACTGTACCACACAGTTCAACACAACAGTTCTTTAAACCTAAATGCACAGATGCTCCTAAAAGCTAATGAGCAGGTAAATGCATGATTTTGGAGACCTCCACTGACCACATGGCCTGTTCCAATGAGCATCTCTGATCTGTAAAAATTTTAAAGATACTCTTTATGTGATGAAAAGACATCATGGCCTACAGAGGAAAAGAAAAAAAGACCACAGAATAGTACAGAATATCAAATCCCTCAGGATAAACATCGACCAGAAGCTGGGTTTTCCCCACCACACTAATAAGCCTTGTGCTCACTAATTTTGACAGAGCCTGCCCACATGGGACTGAGCCGGTGCGCTTTTAAAGCCATTTGTCATTGGGTAAGCAAGCTAAACAGAGGTGACAACCTCTGAGGTTCAAGTGGTTAAGAATCATCTGGTAATAATAAGACAGGGTGGTGTAATTGCTAGTCCCCCATCTCTCACACTAAGTTAGACAAATAAGTAATGACACCGTTGTTTTCAATACTGCCTAATTAGAGCTTTGCAAAAAAACCCAACCAGACAGCAGATGTGTTTCACCATGCAATGGCTACCTGCCAACCGCAGGAATTTCAGTCTCTAATCAGGTACAAATAAGACTGATCTCACAGGTCAAAGACGCTTACTCTTGTCCCATACTGGGCACTAAGTAAGTTGTAACCTGATTGAGTAAGAAGTTACCGTGAGGTTGAAACTTTGGGTTGATTTGCATCCTCCAGGTGTGAATGTGCTGAGCAGACACAATGCTCCTTTCAAGATTTACTTTGTTTAGGAAAAAATTACACTGGAGAGTCTATTTATTTTTTAACAAAACTTCTTAAATAGGACTGCCTTACATTCCAGGTAAGTGAATTTCCGTATTTCTTGGAGCAGAAACTAAGCCAGCCTACACAGCTATTAGCTTTGGCCAACCCTCTAGTTAGACCGCCAGCAAAACACGTTTTTGCCGAGTTCCCAGCACCCCAACGTGCGATGCGATAACCCGACCCAACGGGCGGATTAAGAGGACACACGGCACAGCCAGGGGCCCGCAGCGTTCTGCTCGCCGCCCCCGGCCGCCCCGCAGCTCACCCCGCCGTGCCAGCCGCCGCCATCCGCCTTCCTCCTCTTCCGAGCTGCCGGCTGCCCCGCCGCGCCCTCCGCGGCTCCGGCAGGCCGTTTGTGCCCATTAACGCAGACGGCCTTCGCCATGGCCTGGAGCGAAGCCCCGCGGGGTCAGGGCGGCGAGAGACAAGGCCGCCACGGCCCCTCACAGCGGGGCGACGGCCCGGGCCGCGGGTCAGCCCCGGGGCAGGCCCCGGCCTCTACCCACCGCCGGGGCTCCGCGGGCAGCAGCGGGGTGGGGGATCGCCCGCAGCCCCCAACGCCGTGGGGCCGATCTCCGACCGCCCCCTCCTTCCCCGGTCCCCGCGGAGAGGCCGCGACCGCGGGTGCCAGCTCCGCCGCGCCGGCCGCCGGGCAGCACGCGGTCTCGGCACGCGGCTACCCGCGCCTGCCTGCGGGCAAGGCTAGAGCAGCCGATCGGCCGACAGCGCGGATGGGGGGCGGGGCCGCGGCCGCCGGCGGGAGGTTTGAAATGGCGGACGCGGTGCCGAGATCGCACCGGGGCGGGGGCTGAGGGCGGACATGGCCACCAAGCGCCTGGCCAGGTGCGGACGGCGGGGGAATCCCCCTCCTGAGGCCCCTGAAGGGACCGGAGCGGAGCGGAGCGGGGGGGGGGGCGGGGGGGGTTGGCGTCAGGGCGGGCGAGGTCCTGAGGGGGGCCGGGGCGCTGATCGGGCAGCGGAGCGGGAAGGGGGCGCCGAGGCCCCTCAGCACGGGGGATGCTGAGGCGGTGCCGGCGCCACTGTGCTCCGCAGGCAGCTGGGGCTGGCGCGGAGCAGTGCGCGGGCGCGGAGCGGCGCGCAGGCGGCGGCGGCGGCGGGGCAGCGCTTCGGCTACCTGATCGTCGTGGTCTTTGAGGCCACGTGCTGGCGGGGCGCGGGGCGCGGCAGCCCCGAGATCAGTGAGTGCAGCGGAACCCGGCTGCGCGGGCGCGGGGGGGGGGGGGCGTGCTGCCCGCGCCTGGGGGCAGCTTCAAACCTTGTGTCGGCATTACGTTGTGCTCCTGATGTCTGACGTGCCCACACCAGCTCGGAGCGCGTGGAATCACTTCTGTGAACAGCTTTCACCTCTCTGGCATTGGTTAGTTTTGTTTTTTGTTTGTTTGTTTTTCCTCATTTTGTTTTTGTCACAGTTGAATTTCCAGCAGTCCTGTTAAACGCCTCAACGGGGGAGACTGAATCTGAATTCCACACATATGTCCAGCCTCAGGAGCATCCTATTCTCTCCGAATTTTGTACAGAGCTAACCGGCATAACGCAGGTAGAATTGCTATTTGGCATTATTTTACACTGGTAAAATTGCTATCTGCTATTTTATTTAAAGAGGCCTTTAAAGGGCTAAAAAGTAATAAACCTCAAATGAATTCCAGTGCATACTAACGCATACATCTTGTTCTGTTCCATAAAGAACCAAGTTGATGAAGGGGTCCCTCTAAACATTTGTTTATCGCAGTTTTTGAAATGGATTCAAAAGATACAAAAGGAGAAGAAAATTATATTCAGTACAGATATTCTAAGTAATTCTACTTCAGAAGCAAAAGCATGTACCTTTGTTACTTGGACAGGTAAATAAAACTTTAACTTGTTTTTTCTGCAGAATAAGTACACATAAAAAATTAACATTTGGTGGTGCTAGTGAGATTGTGTCTTCACTTCTAGGGAGCCAAAAGCCCGTTACTAGGTATTACAGATATGCAATATTGGGGTAAGACTGAAAATATGAAATCCATTGAATCCTGATGTGTTTGCTGTATCTTTGCCTCCAGGGTCTTACAACGTTACATTTTTCTGCTTTACATATACTGAACTGTGTCACTGTTCTTAATGTGTCTAAATGATTTACCGAAGTCTCTGAGACCTTTACCCATCTAAGTCGTTCTTTAGTAACAGCAGGCATTCACTTATCCCTATGTCCCACTGCAGCAACCGTAGTGCCTTTCACTAGCCTGTGCTTCCTGTCCAAAAGTACGGCATGCTGCTACTATGCTGATGTTATGTTTCTTTATGTAGATTTGAAGCCATGTTTATGTAGATTTTTAGGCTAGTTCTTTAGTGATGGATTATTTGTGTTTTTTTTTTTCTATGCAGACTGGGACCTGGGTGTGTGTTTGCAGTATGAGTGTAAAAGGAAGCAGCTGCGAAAACCTGACATTTTAAATTCCTGGATTGATCTCAAAGCAACATACAGGGTGAGACAGCTGACAGACTGTGGAACATTGACATCTCAAGGGCTAGCTGTATCTGAGGTGACAAACCAATATTGTATGTTCTGGTGACTGGTGACTAGTTACTAGTCTAGAACTAGTTAACAATGACAAGTTACTGTAGTTCCAGTTACTAGAGTAACACATTTGTTTTCTTCCCATGTTGTTATCACTCTAACAAACTGCAAGCCCTAGAACTGTGTGACTTTTAATAGAAATCTTAATGCTAGGAAACAACCTGGTGTTGTTAGAGGAATGAATCATAATCCTAGGACAATTTTTTGAGCTGCTCTTCCTTTCCTGACAACTTTTGCTCTCCTTGCTTCCTAATTTCCCTCGTTTTGTGTGCTCTTACTGCTGCCTTACACTGCTGCCTAGAAAGTAGCCATCATCATCTGTTTAGAGGTACTTAAAGGTCTAGCATGTGAACTGCCCTTGGACCAGAAAGTATGTTCTGAATAGCAATGAATAATACTGAAAAAATGAACGTACATTTTATTACATAGTCTACTGCAGCAGAATTCTAACATGGGGGCTAACAGCACCTAAGTGTACCTTGCCCTGTCTAGTCAAGGAAACTTCCAAAAGGTGATCCAGGAGTCTACCTGTCCTGACACTTGGAGCTTAGGCTCTTAACCTAGGTAGCACAATTAGTCCTCTAAGGATAAACAGTGTGACTGTTGCCCCTTTCTTGTGATCAAATGAGATACTCAGAGTGAGTAGCAATACTCACTTTTTCTTGTTTAAAAATAATTTATATTTATGCCAAATAAATGAATTCCTGTGCCTTTACAATATGCAACAACTCAAACTTCTCAAGATGTTACTTATAGTTGTATTCTTCAATGCTTTTGTTAAGGCCTTCATCTATGTAAGCCATAAAGTGCAAATGAATGACTCCAGAGATAAGACAGAATTGATTAGTTTAAAACAGAGAAGGGATTCATGTTTTTTTCCATTCCAATTTGTTACAGGGTAAGTCACTTATGGACTTATGCTTATTTATCCCGACTGTAAAATGAAGATAACTGACTTTCACAATTGCCTTGTGAGATTTATTATTCATAAGGTGGTATTTCTGAAATGGTTTTCACTTCACTATGAAGAGGTTTTGAAATACTTTATGTTAAGCACCTGTGTTTTTTCCTTAGGCCTTCTATAATAGGAAGCCTAAAGGACTAAAAGGTGCTTTGCAGGATTTGGGGATAGCTTTTGCAGGACGGGAACATTCTGGTAAGTAGGATATGAGGATCCACATTTTAATATATATGTATATTTTAATAAATTTAAAATAAAGCTAAATTACCATTTAGCTTTAGTTGACTAAACTAAAGCAGCTAGCAATAGCCAGTCCTTACTCTAAATAGTAACTATTGTTTCCAGGTTATGCAATGTTCTGTCCAACAAAAACATCAAAACAAGAAAACCTAGATGCTTCAAAGATCAGTTTCTTACCTCTAACCTCGTGTTTTATTTCTGAAATCTCTCCTAGTGATATTAGATGCATGTTCAACAAGATCAATTTTTGAATTGCTAGGGTGCAAAATAAAACAGGTGGAGGAAGGATAAAGGAAACTTGATTCTACCCGATAGCTCTGGACAACATATTAATATAAGAGAATACCAGCACAAAATGATTTTTTTTTTTTTTTTTTACAAGATTAATAAAACAGAACAAGGATTTAAAAAATTGTGGCTATACATTCAGTTCTATTGGTTGCTCCTTCAGCTGTTACAGCACAGGGAATTTTTTGGAATCTCTTACTTCCACTTCCCTGTTCTGAACTATACAACTATGTGTCAGTGTTTTGTGAATCCCTGTTGTTTATGTAAGGCTTACCTTGATTACATTTTTCCTCTAATAAGAACTATCCCCAGTAATAGTTTAAAAAGAAGACATTAATATAACCATACTTTTGAAGGGTTGGATGATTCTCGGAATACTGCCCGTCTTGCTTGGAGGCTGATTTGCGATGGTTGTGTGCTGAAGGTTACTAAATCTTTGGATAAGGTTAGTAACTACTTCTTGTCTTCCCTTCTACTCACTTTGTAGCCTGGAATACAGATGAAAGGTGAGCTATTTAAATAATAATCCCAGCATCTTGACTATGAATTGAACAGAACATCCCTAGGCTGATACACTTATTAATTTTGTGCACTGATTCCTAAAACTTCTGGGTATTCACTTTCCAACATCTCCTTTTGTTTATGGCCCCCCCAGGCACATCCGAATAGTAATTTAATTTCCAGAACACTATGAACTTCACTGACAAGACTCCACTGGGAATTAACTGCAGACCTGAAACATCTAGAGATGGAACCTGCAAAACAAACTCTCTGGCTGAGGAAAAACAGAACGGTATTGCTGGAATTAAGATAAATTCTAATGTACAAACTGAAGAACAACAGATCAATTCCGTTGATTCCTCTGCAGATGTCCATGTTGTACCTAGCAGCAGCTCAAGGGCTGAGTTACATGCTCAAGCCCAAAGCTCTTCAACAGCATCTACTAACAGACCTCCTGTTCCTCTTGAGCAGGCACAGCAACCTCCCAGTACTCTCGCAACAGGCATTCGGCAAGGACTGGGCAGTGGGCAACATCTGAGTAGAGCCAGATCTGGCCCTCCAGCACACGGATCAGGACTAGTGCTCGTCTCCACTACCATCTCCTCAGTTAATATCTCCAATGAGGATATGAGTACTAGTTCTGATTGCTTATCTCTGCTGACTGACTGGGAAGATGTTGCTTTAATACCAGAATCTCAATATGAACAAAATTCAGACCATGTTCAACTCAAAGTTGACTCAAGTACAGATGTTATAACAGTGTTTGAAAAGAAAACAATTTCAAAACAATTGGCTGTAGTGAGTTCAGATAATCAAAGTTTGGAAAAAACTGTAATACCTGTGGAACCTCTGAAATCTATCATTTACAAAAGTCCTGATACTACTATCTATAATGTAGCAGCAGTACAAAGGCAGACTTCAGATTTTAAAGCTTTGAAGTTACCGTCTGTAAAGGTAAATGCACAATCAGCATTAACTGGAAATTATCCTACTCCTTTGGAGGTTCCTAAAAGAAAGCCAACTAGTCCAAAAATGTTCCCACCAGCAAAAAAACAATCTTTTGCTATATATCAAGAGAAAACTGCATCTTTTGATTGCTCCTTACCTTTAAGAAGTTCCAATCTGCCCAAAGTGTCTCCTGACATTCTGAACTCCACATTCAATTTGAATCAGTCTGTAAGAGCTGTGAAAAACGGAAAACCAACTCCCCCTCTGTGTAACTGCGGTCGAAGAGCTAAAAAACTGTATGTGTCAAATGCTGGTCCAAATCATGGTAAAGCATTTTTTTGTTGTCCTGTTGGCAAGCATGAAGGTAACAAGAAAGGCTGTGGATATTTCAAGTGGGAATATGTGCTTCTGAAAGAGAAATCTAACTATCTAACCCTGAATGCAGAGGCTTTGACCTCTCTTGGAACTTATGCTAGTAATTTGGGCAATTCTTCCAACAAAAAATACTTGTGTCTTAGACCCTCTATGAGAACTTGAAAATTTATATATTTTGTTTTTTGTCTGAAACTTAAACTCAGTTGATCATGTTTAATATAATCAGGACAGTCAAATGATGTTGGATATTTGTTCTGAGAATGAGACAAAAATTACATTGCTTGGTTAACAGATAAACACAAATTGCTCAAGCATACAAAAATATCAATATATCCTAAAGTATCATTAATGAAGTGTGAGAGAATGGATAAAACTAAGAAGTGCTAAAATTAAAGTTTGGGCAACTGTTGCTACACATCTTAAATTTCTGCTTATTATGTATTTTAAATTCTTTACTAGTCCAGTCATTAAAGAACATTATAATGATACAGATTTTATTTACACTATTTTTTCTAAATATACTTGTAATGATAACTAACTTGTAAAGTTTTTAAAGTATTTAGAATTTATCACACTTTTCAAAAGTGAATCTTGAAGCAATAGTGTTTTCTTAAACTGTTTTTTTATCATTTAAATGAAATAACAATAAAGATAAAATGCTGGTGACAGTTCATTAAATACTTCAACACACATCACCTATTGTGTTCTTGACTACATGAGTTGCCCATTTTATTTGTATTGCTCTGCCTGCTTTTGTACTATTAGTTATTAGTGTAGTATCTGGGACAGCCAAAGCGGTAAGAATTTATTCAAACCTAAACTAAGAGACAGAGTATAATGTCTTTTACTTTACATTACTGAGTAAAACTGCAACATTTTATTTTGTAAAAAAAATCGTATAAAAAAGCAACAAGTACTTCTAATCTTTTCTCCACTCCTTCTGGCGCAGTTCATTTCTTCTGATCTTCCCACTAATAGTTTTTGGTAACTGTTGAACAAACTCCATCTATTGGGAAATGGAGGAAATTGTAATACAAAATAAGACATGGTTTACTTACATTTTCACTTTTTCTTAACCTCACCAGCATAGGTTTATAAGCCACATACTTTTCACTACTATAAGACAGTGGGTGCTAACTGTTCTTTGGGTATTTGAGCACTCACCTTCCTAGGATACTTGTATGGAGCAGTAACTTTCTTAACGTGGTCTTGCAGCTCTTTCATCATTTTTTCCGGATCACGTGAAGCATAGTCAGGTGTTAAAACAACAAAGGCTTTCACTACCTATGGAAGTTATGGCAGCAATGGTTTAAATGCCAATGAAACAGTATTACAGAACAGTACAATTTGAAACTTTAACCAAACATTTGCTGACAGACTGCAGAATAATGTATAGGGCAGGAACAGAAAGCTTTGCTAAAGTTTGTGTGCACTCATTATAGGTCTGGACTGTGCAGGCAGTTTATATACATTTAATAAAGACAAAAACCTGTAAGTATTTGTCAGGGGAAGCTCCAAATGGTGCTTTTGTTATATTGGATGTCAGTCAATTGCCTCGGACGGTTTTTTCCTGGGTGGCTTCTCCAGTGTCTGATAGAGTTGAAATGCCATCCTGAATTTAGTTTTAATTTTAAAAATAAATTTAAAAAATCCCAGGATAGACAAATCCCTTGAAAGTTGGGCTTTATTAGCTCTGGTATGCATACGCTAGTTAAATATCTAAGCTTGTTTAACTTGTTTACCTCTCCTCTCATGGCATCTGGACTGCTGACAACTGCTGATTCTACCACTGCAGGATGCTCTACTAGGGCACTTTCGACTTCAAAGGGTCCAATACGGTACCTTTAAAACAAAGGAAAGGGCTTTTAGTTGTATTTGATAACGCATAAGAATAACTTCACGTCTGAATCATCTGTGTTATTCAAATTTAATTATTTACTGTTAATCAGTCTTAAATTTACCCAGCAGAGTTAATGACATCATCAGCTCTTCCAACAAACCAGAAGTATCCATCCTCATCCATAGTCCCCCTGTCTCCAGTGACATAAAAATCCCCACGTATTGTTGCCATTGTTTTCTCTGGATCATCCTAAGAAATAATAAATTGCATTTTACATGAAAACTACCTGAAAAATACATTAAATTGCATTATAACATACTCAGCATGTAAGTTATGGTACAGTAAATACTCAAAAATTTCACCTTTTCAGACTAGTCCATACTGTGGTCATGTGCATCAGATTCAGGTGGGACATTAATAACAGAGAATTATTAAATCACCATTACTAAGCTGCAAAACTAGATATAAAATTCATAAATTGTGATGAATGAAGTTGCATTACTTTTGACTGACTAATAATTTAATCATAATATATTACGCCCCACAGCTTTAGGAACCACTGAAAGTTGCAAAAGTATGTAGGCTGATGGAACTGAGAATTTGCTTTTAGATTATTACCTTTTAATTAATTTTTCCTTTGTGTTTCTAGCATCTCATATCCTGAGATTTCTTTTTCACACCCATGAAAAGTTTTGGTTCAGTACAGTGCAGTTAATAAATGCTTTTTCTACTGCCAATACAGCTGACTTCAAGAATTTTTCTAGGCAGTATGCATGGTTCTCCTTTCCCACATGCTCAGTACTGCTCAGAAGACCTGACTGTAGGCTGATACCACCCATAAAATTTAACAGGGTTTCCTGGTGTCAGAACTGAAAGCACTGTGCATTTGTTCTACTGGTTGTTGGACTGAAAATTCTAACCAATGTGGAAAAATAATGAAAAATGTTGCTGTGCATTAAATGTTCCATGAAGCTCAAATCCGGAGAAAAAGGATTTCAGCAGTGTCCTACTTCTCAGATGGGTGATTTATCCCTTAGGCCAAAGAATATTTGGGGATTAGGCGGGGTCTGTCAAACATATCCCTTTTCATTAGGGGAATAACAATCAAAATAAAGTGGATTTTAACTTGCTAGGCAAGACAATCTCATCAAACACACAATTGTTTGTATAAGTAGACCAAGCATCTGCAAGAAAAAAAGTAAAAATCCCTCTTTCCTTCCCACTGGTTTTCAGACTGGTAATCAGAGTATATATAAACAAAATGGGGCATCAGATTCCTTGTGACAGATTTATCAAGATATCTGTAGAAATATTCTTACAGCATAGCAAGTAAAAAGAAAAGGTGATCTTATAGGTTTTACTCTGATGGCAATATCTCCTTCTTTTCCAGGAGGCAGGATATTACTGTTTCCATCTATAATCTAAAAATAAACAAAATATAGTTTTATTATATTGGAGCCAAATTAAAAAGCATTAAAGTAAAATTATAGATTAAGATTATAGGTGCGCATTTAAAATACATAATAAAAAAAAAATATTGGGAAATGATTTGGAGCAGTAGGGGGTCTTAGTCTGACAACTGAAGTGTAAGATTATTACTAAGCCACTGTACTTTGCACTATGTCTTTTATCTGAGGAATGCCAAGTGTTACGCAAACATGTAATGAAGTTAGTAAAACAGACCCCAGGGAGGATCATAAGTAACAGGGTGGAAAAACTTAGAACCAAAAGAAAGATACTAAAAATCTTAACCCATATTGCAAATTGATCTGGTGCTAGAATCTGCTTCAGTGGTTTTGTTATCCCAAGAAAACAACATTCACTCCCACTCTTCCTTAACTCAGCAATTTAATTTCTATCATTGCCTTAAAGTTTGATATCCAACTGTCAGTTAGCAGAGGGTTGTCATCTATGTTGGTGAGGATGGTGCAACAGCGATGTCCGGTCACACATTTTTTGCATATTCAGTTTAGGGCAATAACGCATTTCTTCACTTTCATTCACTGCTGAATGATGGTACATGGTACAAGCCTGTGTTACAGCTTTTAAACCTCTTTAATGGAAAGTGGTTATGCAAGAGAGATTGAGTCACCAGAGGTACAATACCTTGACATCATAATCTGGAGATGGTTTTCCCATAGAGCCAGGTTTGATTTTCATTCCCTTAAAATTTCCACAGATCAGCACCTGTAACAAGTGTGATTTTTTTTGTTGTTGTTTGGGGTTTTTTTGTTGTTGTTTTCTTCTAAATTAAACTGTGGCTTGTATATTCAGTCTTTACTGAATATACAATATTGAATATACTAATTGTCTTCATTATAATCATATAGCCAATGACTACATTTCTAGAAATAAACTATACCCTTAGAATCATGCCTACAGCTCCAAATAATGTGAGTGCTCCAAAGATAGATTCTAAAGCAGAATTTGGAATGCAGTAATGAAGAATATACCCTTTTCCATTAGTTCCCAATCCAAAGTCCCCAGGAATGAAAAACAGCCCTTGTATTTTGGATGAAGCTGTTATGATTGTTCTATGACTTACAAAAAATACATTTTACTAGTGTTGTTTATTGCAATTGACTTTTCCCCTAAAAGTCGTAACTCTGTATAACCGTTTTAATCACTTTTTCTTGGCAACCTGAATGGAACTTACAGCTGTATCTGTGAAGCAGACATTTTTACATTTTTAAAGCACAACATACTGTTTCTGTCTGTCCATAGCCTTCATAGATATGCAGCCCAGTCTGCGCTTTCCATTCTTCCATCACGTCAGGGTTGATTGGTTCCCCAGCACTCACACAGTGCCGCAGGCTTTTGAATGTATAGCTTAGTGGGAAAGAGAAATACGAATAATGGGTAGTCATCTGTCTGCTATGTCCCATTCACTACTGTATTCCTTATTGTGGGGTCCTTTCTATGCAAACCCTAATTTTTTACTGAGTCCTGTTCATTCCATTTGAACTGTGCATTGTTAAACAAAAACAAATCTGAAAAAATGCAAATAAAAAGGAAAAAACTGCTGGTTTACTTCTGTATTATTTTAGAAAATCTAATGATCCATTTACTGTTTCTAACCCTAGAATCTGAACTGTGGTCTAAACCAAGAAGGAATAACACGGTTCAAAAGTTTCACAGAAAGGTTAAATGAGGCCAAACAGTCTTTCACACATTTCACCAAGCTGTGCTGACACACATACTTCTTGTAGCTTATAGTATTTGAGGAACAAGTGGGAAAACAAACAGAGGGTGTATGTGATTATAAAAGCACTTTTAAATATACATTAATCACTATATCATGGGTATCCTATTACATCCTCAGCTAAACTGATTTTCAAAGTCACTGGAATTTATGAAATCTGAAATGGTTAAGCTACCCCTAAACCTTTATTCCAACTTTGTTCCTAATACTTGAGATTCTAAATATTGAGAAATACATGAGCTGTGTTACCGTTATGCCATTGTAAATTTGGAATAAAATCAAGGTGAGATGAGCATTTAGTCTACTGTTATGATAAAATACACCAATGAGAATATCCTGTTTTTGCTTACCTGGACAGTTTATGTTG